GTTTCCCGGAAAAAATTCAGGGAAAATTAGGGACAGCCTGCAGGCGCACTGTGAATCGTATTCGGATCCCGAAAACAAGTAAGGACCCCCCACCCTATTTCCTATCACGGTATTAAAGTTCAAAATGATAAAACGGTATTTCTTGAATTAACGCATGTGTGAAATTGCTTAAGGTTGCTAATGGAGCCCGAGTCTAGTGTGATTGATGATTTACTGTTATTTGGCATGTTTTACACTGTTTTACAGCTTTAAATGCATTATGGGGTTTGATGTGTTCATTTTATAGTTTCGAATGCATATATTACTGTTTTATTAATTATGGGTTGAATGACTGAAGAACTGATACTGTATGTTGTCTGTTCGGCATGAATTACAATTTGCTTGTTTAAATGTGAATTGATGATGCTTATTGAGGAAAAAGGGAAATGAAACATTGTATAGACTGATAATTGTATGATGGGGTCAGCCTGACTAGATATCCTGGGAGATGGTGGACGGACCGGGTCCGTAGGGAACCCTACCGGGATTGTGGTCTCACATACCGGACGGGGCATGGAGATCTTATGGTTTTGGCGCCCATACCGGACGGGGTATGGGGACGGCCCGTTTCACCCTCATACCGGACGGGGTATTGGGGTTTATGGTTTTGGCGCCCATACCGGACGGGGTATGGGGACGGCCCTGGAAACTGATTATGAATGTTAAAGGTTAACGGGTAGCGGGACCCATAGGGACCCCCATGGATACTAGTAGGCTGGTAAATGAGAAAAGGATATGTTGTATAATGATTGAATTACAAAAGGCGTGATAAGTGCTATGTTTTACAGCTTATATTATTCCATGATTGTGATAATGTTATTATTTTTCTTATATTGTTTTCATAAATTCCACCGAGGTAAGTGGATGGTAAAGGTTTTCATGTTAATAAACGAGTTTGTTGTAAATTATGCTCCATTGGTCTTTTTGTGGTTTTCTACCCACCTTTATCTCCGTGACGGTGAGATATCGTGATGTTCTTACTGGGCTAGTGTAGCTCACTCCTTAATTAACCATTTCAGATCAGGAAGACATGGTTCCCGAGCCCGTTCCGCAGGAGGACGACGAAGGGGATGCCTAGAGACTCTGTAGTCATACGCATAGTTTATTTTCGAGTTCTCTTTCTTAGTTAGTTTAACCTTTTATATTTTAAGTACGTTTTTTTTGGTTTTTCGTGTAAGGGATGTTAACTGAAATTTTGATCTCGCTTCCGCATTCGATATATTTAAATACTCATTTCCTTTTTAATATTTTCCGGGGCCGTTACACGGGAAGGGCCTCATCGGAGGCAAAAATTGAGGAGGGATGCGACGGCGCCGCTGGGTTTCTGCCATGTTTTCCGACCATTTGGCCAGGATTTTGGCTCCGATTTGGCCACAGAGGAACTCAGCATTGAAAAACGAGCCGGGAGTATGAAATTTACCTCGATCGGCGGTCGGAAAACTCCCCGGTGCGGCGGCGGGTGGCGGCGGCTGGCTCCTCCGGCATCTGGTTCGTCTTCTCCGGCGAGGGCAGGCGGCTAGGGTTTTTGTGGTCAGGTGTGGGGGTTTTATTTATACCCTTTTGCCTTTTGATCACAGCCGTCCATTTTGATTAAATATGGACCGTCCGTGCTTGATTGAATCTGGGCCGTCCGTGCGCACGTTTAATCTGGGCCGTCCGTGCGCGCGGGGACGCATCTGGGCCGTCCGATCGCGCGCACGCGGATCGCCCACGTGGCCCGTTCTCGGGTCGACGTGGTCTTGCCACGCGGCAGGTCCTGGTTGGCCAGGGCTGCTGACGTGGCTGCTGGCGTGGCGCTGACGGGGTACAATTTTTTAAATTGCGTTTTGACCCCCGGTTTCTGATTTTCTTTTCAAAAATACTCTCAGAATACTAATTTTCACCCCTTTTTTCCAAAATTAATTTCAATTAAATCCAAATAATATTTTTACCCAATTTTATCATTATTATTATTTTTATTTTTATTAAAAAAATTAAATTAAATTAAATAAATCAATTAAAGTAATAAAATTATAAAATAAACTAAATAAAATTAATAATAATAAAAATTTTAAAAATTAGTGGCGTTACACTTATATTCATAAAGTTGGAATATATGAAGCACTTGAAAGAATCATCTTTGGCTTTTGGCTACAAAATGAACAAGCAAATACACCACCTACCATACAATTTTTTTATGGACCATCTTAAATTTTGTATTTATATTTTATACACCACTCAAAAATTAAATATTTAATATTTTTAAAATATATATATATATCGAATATTTAACTCATTACTTTAACTAAAAAATTTATTTTTTAGGAAATTTTTATTTCGCCTAAATATGTCACTGACTCAATAAAACTAATATATTAATTATAATAATTAATATAAAATATTTTTCTATAATTTTATTTTATTTTTTATTTTACTCATACATTTTTTATGCTTCTTGAGTTTTCTTCTTGTTCTCTTTTGTCTGTTACAACTAAATAAATCAATGGCTTGCTCCATCTTCCTTCCTTTTTTGATTATTATTTTATATATATAGTCCTAATAATATATATATATATGTATATATATATATATATTTTTTATTAGGACTCTTCATCTCTCAATAATACACCAAACATATTATATTGGAAAAAATGAAGATTAGACATAATTTAAGGTATATTTCTTACCTACAAAACATTATTTATATCCTTAAATTAATAAAAAAAGACAAATATTTATTTAGGAAAGTAAGAATGAAATGACAAAAAATCAAAGGGGAAATTATATATATATATATAGTTAGAATGGTGCTAGTTAATAAAATAGAATGGAAATGAAAGTAATATCTTCACCAATTCTCCATTAAAACTCAATTTTTTTTTTCTTCAAATTGGAAAAGAATGAATTAATGAAAATAGATATTGAATTCCATTTTGAGTAATTATTTTTTCTTTCGAAACATAAAATTTTTCGTATAACGTATGCAACTGTTACTAATTTTTTTAAATTTCAAATGCATCATGATTCGATAGAAACGAAGTACAATTCGATTATCACAGTTCTATCAATATATTAACGATATAAATTTTAAATTTTATTAAATTAAATATTATGAATAATCGGTTCAGATTTTGAAGCTAATAATTTTTTTTTTGGTCAACTCTAATTTTGGTTCATGTTTCATGTGTTTAATGTAGAAATATATAGAATAATATCTCTAAATTTCGTTAAAAACTAATTCATTGGACAATTATTAGAATAGTTTAGAAATATATTCTTGCAAATAATACATAATGATTTAGTTTCATGAGATCATTTATGATGATAGGCACAGAAGGTACTAGGTGAAGGTGAAATGAGTGGCCAGCATTCCCCTCCTTCTCAATTTCATCTTCCATTTTCATTTCACTGAAACTGATTTCTGTCCTTTTTTTGTAGAAACGCATTTGTCTATTTGTAGATTCCTAAAGATCATTCCAGTCTTTGATGTTAGCTTCTGTAAATTCTTCCTCCACAAAAAATGGAAAAGTGTTCTTTTTTCCTGCTCTCTTGTAGCGATATGATAGGTGTGTATTCTATTTATGTTGTATAAATGTTGTTGGGTGGTCTTGGTTTACTGATCAGTGATCAGGGGAGAGCAGATAAGCTGACCTGTTTTTTCAGCCATGGATGAACAACCTCTTCTCTCCGATGGAGGGTTTCATCTGTCTAATTCTTACAAGGAAACGCCTGTTTTGGTATCATTTCTCAAATGGGTTCTGAAATTTGTAATGTGGGTGGTTTTCCTTTTGTGGGTCTCCGTGATTTTTCTCTTCCCTCTAGAAATTATCAGCAAGATTTTCTCCCCTAACTTTGAAGCATTGACTTCTCTGCCTTTTGGAATCAAAGGTTCGTACATGATTTTCCTTTCTTTCTTTCTTTGACACTACTTGTTTAGTCTGCTTTGAATGGATTCCATTCTCAATTTTCTATATTGCTAATGATCTGCAGGAAATTTTTTCTTGGCATTCGCTGGTCCAATTCTTGTTCTCACTTTCCTTTCCACTGCATATCTTATCATCTCTGGGGAAGCTGTGTACAACAAGTAAGTGATTTTGTTGTGTTATTTACACCCATTTGACCAGTTTTTAGCTTTTCACTTTTTCTTTTCCAAAAGATTTCTGTAAATAAATGGATGAAATAAATTGGAAAAAAAAAAAAGTTAAAGCTAAAATATTTCGTGTTACTTGCAAATTGGTCATGGCGATACCTATGTAACAGGAAGAAGGGGTCAAAGTACCCAACCCTCAGGTTATGGACTCTTCCTGTTCTTGTGGATGGACCATTTGGGGTTGTTTCAGCTGCCGAGTTCATTGGGATTCTCTTCTTTGTTGTGTTTATCATCTGGGGTGCTTATGCTTACACCATGAGCAACCTTCAGTTGGCACCCATCTTTCATGCGAATACCAAGTATGAGTTTAGGTAAAGTGTCTTATATCTTCAACCTCTATGTAACTCTTCTTTTCTCTTATCTTATTCAGATTTCTTTTGTTGGTTTTTCTTTAAGCTCCTTCTCAGTTTAATTTGCTTATTTCGGTGGGACATAATTTATTAATATAATATCTCCTTTTGTCTATTTGATTGTTTATTTACCTGTCATTGACTCTTTTCTTGGAGTTTTACCTCATTAAGAGGCCGTTTGTCTGTTTTTTCTTTATATATATAAGCTTGAATAGGTAGAATATCCAAACAAAACAATTAAGTGTTCTTTTAATTAAATAATTGTGTCAATCTACCATAAATATATAGATATTTAACTAAATTCTGTGTATGTAAAATATAAAAAAGATAATTATTAATATTAAACAGTAGGGAATCTCTTTTTTTTTGGGGGGGGGGTTGGGGGTTTAGTATTTGAGCTAGAGTATATTGGTTAGAAAATACAGTCAAATAGACTGATACTATCTGCTAAAAGCTTCCAAGAAATTGGTCCTTGGAGCTCTTTTCTTAAAGCTCTTGAGCTCTTAGCATTTTTTCAACATTGACAAATACTTTATGATTTATTTTATAACCAAAATGTACTTTAAGCAACTTTGAGTA